CACTCAGTCAGAGAGGACTGCAGGTTTCAGCTGAGGAGGGAAGGTGCTTTGATTTTAGAAGATCCTTCTGATTAAGAAATGAGAAGTCAGCTAGAATTAAGGGGAAAAAAGAAAAAAAAAGTAATGTAGATTAAATTGGACAGTTTTCAGGGTCTTTTGTAGTATAGTTAAAGTCAGCAGGACCAGGATAGGGCTTCAGGAGAAGGAGAGGTGGATTAGTACAGAGCAGACTGCTCTACTCCAGGCAGCTTGTCCCTCCTCGAGGCAGCCATCAGCCGCAGGCCAGCATGACGGAGTGGACCCTGCTCAAACGTCTCCTGGATGCTGTCCACCAGCACTCCACCATGATTGGTCGTTTGTGGCTCACCGTTATGGTCATATTCAGGCTGCTCATTGTGGCTGTGGCAACTGAGGACGTGTACACAGACGAGCAGGAGATGTTTGTGTGCAACACAATTCAGCCAGGATGCTCCACTGTCTGCTATGATGCATTTGCACCCATCTCGCAACCTCGTTTCTGGGTGTTTCACATTATCAGCGTCTCTACGCCATCCCTCTGCTTCATCATCTACACATGGCACAACCTGTCCAAGCGGCCCCACAACACCATCCAAAGGTTGGGGCAGGGGACAGGGAATATCCCAGGGCAGGGACGTTCAGATGTATGGCGTGACAGCGGACGGGAGGCATATGATCGAAGCTGCGACTCAGATAGCTGCTCTGTTCGCTCCCATAAGCATTTAGGACACAGCCTGGCAGATGTGCTGGAGGGAATACCCACCCAGAACCTCCAGAGGGGAGACCACAAGAACATAATGTCCTTAAGCCAGGCTCGTGTCTGCTCTTTCAGAGAAGGGAGTGCAGAGGGTCATGTGGTCCCTGGAGGGGTTCTCTCCAAATGTTATATATTCCATGTGTTTTCACGTGCTATTCTGGAGGTGGGCTTTGTCCTTGCCCAGTGGAAGCTGTTTGGCTTCCAGGTACCTGTCCATTTCCTCTGCACCTCAGCCCCCTGCAGCCAGCCAGTGGACTGCTACGTCTCTAGACCCACAGAGAAGACCATCTTCTTGTGCTTCATGTTTTGTGTGGGAGTTTTCTGTATCCTTCTTAACCTGCTGGAGCTCAACCACCTGGGCTGGAAGAAGATCCGACAGGTGGTAAGAATGAGGGAGAGGACATCATGGGGAGGTTGCTCAGGTATGAAGGGGGGATATGAAACCTTTCCCCCTGACAGTCCCTCTCTCACATCCTCTTTAGGCTTCAGAGATGTGACCAGCACCACCTCTCTCCCCACTTTAGACCTGGTGGTGGGACACCAGCCGGACTGGACTTGTGCTGTGAACTGTAGCAGTATGGGGGAGCCTGAAGGGGTCAGAGAGACAAAATTGGAGCAGCCAAAGAGACAAGACTCCCATAAAGGAGAGAGTCAGCCCCTGAAGAGTATAAGGGAGAGCAGGGGGTCCAAGCAAAGGAGTGCTCAGGTCTGGATATAGTCTAAGACTGAGTGAAAGACTGTTGCTGCCGTCATTTGTCTAGAATCAATGATCTTACCGTAGAATTCAAGGTGTCAGCAAAATTAAGAGTTTATCGAAATGGGTCACCCAAATTTCTTACGTACCCATATATTTAAATGAAACTGTCAGAACTATCAAAGTAGTCTGAGATAGACTACTTTGATAAAAAAATAATGTGGAGATAAATTAAATTGGATTTTTTTGGTTTTCACAACAATGAAATAACTGTTCGAAAGTAACATGTCTTTTGAAAAATAAGCTCTGTTAACAAGGACAATCCAGGGACTGCTTTCAACTGTTTTATAGAGGACTTTTTCTTCCGCACAAAGTTCTAATAAAACTGTTCACAGAAGAATGAGTATTCTGCAGAATTTAAACAAAAATGTGTGCATCACAGTAAGTTCCATACACCTCCAATGTATTGGTGGGAAATAAATGACAACTGAGCATTTATTGATAATTTGTGTGAACTAACCATGTACTTCACTATAAACTGGCAGACTAAAAACTGACCCATTTAAACAATTTACTATATCAACCACAAAAAAGTCAATAGTGGCTGTCCATTAACAAGTTTTGAGAGACAACCTGCACTGGACACCATCCTGTAAACAGATATTTAATTCATTTCAAAAGGGAAATTGTGAAAAAGTGCTGCTGCTGATGCTGGGTGAGTCTTAAATCCTCATCATATCAAAATGTGTGACTGCTTGTGTTATCATATGGTGTGTACACTATAGAGGATGATCACTGATGAGAAGGTTTATCATTTAAAGGTACAGTGTGTAGAATTTAGTGATATCTAGTGTTGAAATTGCATGTTGCAGCTGAACACCCCTCACCTCACCCTCTCCTTCCAAACATGAAAAAGAACCTGTGGTAGCCTTTAATTGTCATAAAAACTCAAAAGGTGTTTAGTTTGTTCAGTCTGGACTAATGTAAAAAACATGGCGGCCTCCGTAGAGAGGGTCCCCTCCATGTAAATATAAAGTATTTAAATATAAAGGGTCTTTTCTGGGGTAAAGAACTACAATTCATTCACTAGTGAAAACATCATGAGGATTACTCTACATTAAATTTCTGCCGATAGTTGCCTTTCACCTAAATCTTACACACTGGACCTTTTAAGGCGGTGTTCCCCAAATGTCTTTCTTTTTGCAAGCTCCTAATACAGTGAATACAATACCCTCATCACAGGTTGCATACTTTTTTTAAACAATCTTATTCAGATTGTTTAATTTAAAGCAGTTTCAGAGGCATCAAGATATGAAATTCAGTTTTGAATCACACCAAAAGGAAAGCACACACATCTGAGAATTGTCCAATAACTGAATATAGTTCTGTCTAGGAGTATTTTGCTTTTACTTTTTGTACACCAGCCATAGTCTATACATCCACTTGTAAGTTTGATTTAAGGTACATTTTATGGCCGCAAATATGTGAAAACCACATACATGAACCCTGGACCTTAATCTGATTCTATATCAGGCTAAATGCTTCTGGTTTCAGAATCCACCTGATATTGGGATGTGGCTGTGTGGAACTCTCATTCAGACACATTCATAAAATTATAGGCATGTCCACACAATTTTGGCCATATAGGGCAATTTATGGATTAAGATGCATGTAAACAAAGAGTACATGGTCCAAGTAATTGCTTGTCATTTATTTACTCAATATATTTATTCATATATTAATTTACAACATCTATAAAACACTTTTTGCATAAATTATGCTACTGAAAAAAAATATAACACAGAACTGCGCAGCCATTTTCCTTCACCTACAAGTTGTTTGTAAAATGAATACTTAGGAGACACATTTGTAGAAAGGCAATCAAAGGTACAGTGTTCTTGTTTTAGGATTTAAACAATTGTAAAACAAACAATACTTTAAAACAGGGTATTTTTGCATCCAGTCTGAAATCTAGAAAAAGTCAAAAACCTAAATCGAATGGAGCTCCTATGGATGCTTCAAGTTGTTTTATAATAGCCACATTTATAGAACAATCTCTGAAAACAGATTTTCCAGTTATATTCTAGAGACTCAATGAAGGATTAAATAATCTGATGACCTTTCTTTTCTGTGATATACTGTGACTGTGTTGCAGAGAGCACCTTGTGCTTAGAGCTCCCCAGTATCCACAATATATGATAACAGTCTTTAGAAAGTAAAGAAGTAATTATCATGCAACATGTCTTAGCAATTGCAAGCCAACAGTAATTATTCAGTACGTCTTATTTATTTTCTTTCTATTGAATATAAAGTAGAATTTGTCCATTTGCAATTGAAGATGAAATAAACACATAGAATTAGAATGTAGTCCATCGATCGCACAAACTGGGACACCCAAACCTGAGTTTAGGTCTGAAGTTGTGTCTTTTTACATTATAAGTAAATCAAACCTAAGGAAATACACAAAGTTCTGGAGGGAGAAGAAAGGTTCTGCCATAATAATATTTCTGAGTACCACACATTCTCAAATCGAGGCTGGTATTCAAATAAGAGCTGAATAAATAAAGACTTCTCACTAGTAAAAGAAGCTAAAGGTTGAAGTGTACTGAGATGAAGCAATAAAGCTACCAGTAACACAACAGAATAATGTCACACCCACCATGCTGCTGACATGTTGATTTTTTAACAGAAATACTTTTCAATGACTAATTAATGTCATTCACCTCTGCTTTGCTAGTTTTGAGAATGGTTAAATTACTGTCTTTGCTGCTCAGCACATCAAATGTTTCAAAGCAGGGAGTCTACAGTGCTCTCCAGACACGACTCTCTGAGACAATACAATGCTTATAACTGAACCAAGACTCTATTATAATAATGTTGTTCTATAATATGTGCTGGATGGCTCCAAATACTACAACACCCATGGGCCCTGGCTGCTGTTGATTGTTGATCAGAGTCAAAATTATTCATTGAGCGATAAATGACCCAAAATCAAAAC